GGGCAGAGCTTGTGTGGCACACCTATATATTGCATTATAGTATGTGTAGTAACATGTCATATTTATAGTATTTATACAGTGATCTTATGTTTTATCCTTGACATTTGTAGTACAGGCTTACTCCCACAAGAAAACATGGTGTTCTCTTCCCCTGATGTGGGATCTGTATCACACACATCATACATGGCTGCAGTATGTCTTGTAATTTAGTCACTACTCTGAACTGTCAGAAAGCCTAGGCCTGCTGTTTTTTTAAGCTTATATTATCAGAAAGTGATCATCATGTGAATGTATCAACAATGGTCTCATCTATCCAAGGCTCTGGCCAACTATATTGATGGTTTAAAAACAAGCCCACATCATACTAACCACACTTGGAGAGACTTGAAACAATTCTTCATCAGTTTGTTGTTTTTGACCAACTTCTATCTGACATATTACATCCATAAGTCTTCTTTGAGATCATGGCATGTTTCACTAACTATCTAGATCTTTTTACACAGGCTGCTGCTATTCAAACTTTTAAATGAGAATACACTGTTTCCATCACTTATACACTGGTATCACTGAAATGTGTTGATCAGTCATACCATATGACTAGTTACCTGATTCTAGTTTTACATAAAGGTTAACTCAGGAGTGCCAGTGATGTTTACTAACAATAGTTGTGCTTTGTTACAACTCGGAAATATCAAATTGTTTTGCCATGTTTTGAAAATATACTAAATTATTAGTATTAGTGCTTATACTACTCTACACCATAAGGCAAGTTTTGATGAACTTTCATGAATTGAATGACATTTTATTCAGTATGTCAGAAAAAACACAAAGACATTTATCAAAAATGTAAATAATACATTGCATATCTGTATTTTGCAGAAATGCCTTAACACTGTTTAAGTGCCACAATTAAAAGTTTTAACATCTTTAATTTCAAAATGAAATATCCTGCATAGTTGCTCATAATGGATTGTGAACTTTCACGAGATGATTTGCACATAAAAGATCAAACATGTACAAAAGAAGCCATAAACATTTTCTGATAATTAATGCTTTACATTACTTAGGTTTTGACACTAAGAATGGCTTTGTAGGTGAATGTTGATTACAATATTTTATTACACTAGAGCAACATCTTCCTACTCTCTGATTGACAGCACAATTCCGCCTGTCCATAAAATAGTTCCATCAGTTGGGTAGTGTGTGAAACTACTTGCAGGTAAATAGGTGTGCACTTGAAAAACCAATGGCAAATATTCAGATGTCAGTGGAATAATAAAGACAAGGGTAAAATATACAATGTGGAAAAAAGACAAAGAAAATTACACAAACAGGTAAAATAAAAAACAACAAGTCCTATATTTTAGGAATGGTATAAGATGACAAATTCCAAATAAAGCATTTTACTTTGTCTTTTTACCCTTGTCTTTATTACCTACATTCTTCAGATGTATATGGGAGGGGATGTAAATTACAGATCCACCCACAAGAAAACATGCAGTAGGAAAGTGACTAAGGATTGTATATTTGCTAATGCCACCTATAAAGAGGAGTGACAAGAGTTGCCCTGGATATTATTTTTTTATAGCAAAAAAAGCTCTGCAAAATCATCTAGTGAATAGGATATCATAAAAGATAATTAACATGGATTTCTTAAATGAAATCTTTCATTACTAATCTATTAACTTTATCCTAGATTTTATTATCTGGGTGGTGGACTTGCTGTTCTTAAATTTTCAAGAAGCCTTTGATAAAGTGTCACTTAAAATATTTTAGAAAATCATATCAGAGGGGTTGTGTTAAGACTAGTAAGTTAGATTATAGTGGTGGTGTGCAGTCATTGTATGCAAGCCATGCACTGCATGACCAATCAGAAAACTGAAAATGTGGCAATAACACTATACAATAAAATCTGTCTTCTTATATTTATATTTTTACCATGTGTTCATTGGGTGTGTCCTTTCTTTGTACTGAGGTCATGATTGTATTCTTATTTCATGTTATGTGAGCTCAGCAGGCATAATCTGGCACTTCCAGCAGTGTCTTGTTTTCTTGAGTGATGTCATAGCTACATGCAAGTAATACAGCTCAAGTCATGCTGCATTAAAATAGCATGACAGCTGGTGCATGTGCAGAATTTTAAGGTCAGCAATGTTGACATTGCACCCTTTGCTTGATTTTGTGATGCTGTTATAGAAGAATTTGTAAAGAAATATCAGACTTCATCTACAAATAGGGTGAGTAAACCAGTTTTATATATACATTTGTTTGTTTTTGAGACGTTACACTAATACATTCATACTGCATGACCTACTTCAAAACCCACAGTGTGCCATTGGATCATAAAATGGATGGACGAGAGAAAAAAAAAAATTTTATTATTCTATTATGGATTCCAATTAAACTAGAACCTTTTATTGGTGGAACACATCAGGGGTTAGTGCTTGGGCAGGTGTTTCTTAATATTCATGGTAATAATGTTGATAGGGGCATTATTAATAAATTAATAAAATATGCAAATAATATTGTAATCTTGGGTATCTTATTTCTAGCTGTATTGAGAGTGTTGAGACACTACATAATGAGTTGGATAGTTGGCAAATGACTTTTAATTATAGTGATTGTTTATTATACTTGGGAATCCACTCATTAGTAGTGCAACTAAAGAAAATGGTTTTTGACATAATGGTGGGTAAGTCACTCAAGCTGTCAAGGCAGTGCTTGATTGCTAGTAGCAAAGCCAATAGAATTTTAGGGTGTATTTATAGACATAGTGATTATAAGTCAAAAGAGATAGTTTCTCTTTATACAAATCACTGGTTAGGCCTCTCACTTGGAATACTGTGTATAGTTTTTAGTCATTTTATCTAAGAAAAGATGTTGACTCAGAAAGCGTTCAGAAGTAGACTACTAGAATTCTTAGGATTGAAAGATTATCTTATGGGGATAGGTTAAGCTCTCTTGGGAAAAGGATAGCAAGTAGTGATATTATAAAAGTTTACAAGGTTACCCAAAGGGATTAATAGGATAAAAGTCTCTGATTTCATTGTGGGAGAGAGATCACAAGTTTAAGATTTAGAAAAGACAGGCTGTGCTCCAGTTAAGACATTTTCATTTTTCTGACAGGGTGATTGGTTTGTGTGGAATGAGTTACTTTTGTTAGAAGTGGAGGCTGGTACTTTTCAAGAGTATAAATGTGGAATTAATACTATCCAGAAAAAAATAAAGGATGGGTTTAAGTTTTTCTCAAGTTTAGTGCAGGGACAGCCTTGAAAGACTGGATTATCCCTTGTTGTCTATATTATGCTATTTATAATTAAAAAATCTTTTTAAAACATTTACAGCACATAAAAAGTGCTGGATTATTCCTGTGACTTTAAATATCTAGTACAATGTTTGATAAAATGCTTTAAGTATTTCCTTTTAATACAAAACTTAATTCTGTTGTATCTATACAGATCTACTGAAATTTGTATGATCCTCTATACTCTAACGTCTCCACTTGTTGGAGAGTAATTATTAAACTTCCGAGTTTGAAAATGATATATGATGTTTGTGAGGAATGATTTTGTTTAGGATATTTTTCTTGACACTTTTTAGACTGGGCCGAAATGTGGAAAATGATTTTTAGAAAGATAAGTTTAGTTTTGCCTTAGAATGTGAAAATATGGATGCTATTTCATCAGTTCTAACTACGTAAAATTTTTTACATTAGGAGCTATGTTAGATGTGATTTTTTAAATCAGATATTTGCAGGTGCTTCAGAATAAGATGTTAAGAGAAATCTTTTTACACATATATTTGTTTTATAAACTTTGCAATTGATTCTGTAGGTGGAAAACAGAACCAGTATTTCTTAAACATTAAGAACCTATTTTTCTCAATTCTTTCACCCAAACTTTTTCTAACATTTTTACAGTTTGAGCTAACCTTGTATTGGAATTATTTAGTTTGCTGCATGTACTTGACAGTAGTATTTGGATATTTGATGGAATAGATTGTTTCTGTAAATTATGTTTCTTCAAAATGAAAAGGACCTGGATGGTAAGTAAGCAAAAATATGGAAAATGATTTTCAAGATAAAGAAGTGTAAAGTGATGTACCCAGGGTATATAAATTTGAAAAAGGTTTACTTACTGATTAAGAAAAAATATTATGGAAGAAAATAAATCAGATATGATAATCATAAATGGATGACAATTTTGAATGAGTTTTTGGTTGTGGAAAAAGAACAAGTGTAATTCTGAGATCTACAGTGTTTTTTTGTTTAATATTTTGATTTCAGAATAGGAAGGTTATTGTCATCTGGTATTAGACTTTGTTGGTGCTTTAGTGTAACCATGTTGAAACTTTACTGAGGTCTCATTTAAGAAAGTATTATGTGCAGTTGTGGTGTCCTTACATTTACACTCTGGAAAGATTGCAGAAGCATGCTACTTGAATGATATCCTGTTTCAAAAACTAAACTGTGAAAAGAAACTTAAAAGCTTGAACTTAATTTCTCTAAGGTTAAAGTTTTAAATCAGGTTTTTGTAAAATTTGTACATGCTTGGATAGATGGCAAAAATATGTTTGAGCAATGAAAATATAGGTAAAAGATAGTAGCTCAAATATTAAGGACATTAAGAGCATCTTTAGAAACCAGATAGAGTTGTTTTGAGGAGAAGAAATCCACTATACACTTTAAATAAAAGGTCAAAGATATAACCTTTGATTGGATTGTTCATCTTTTTAAAACTTTTATATTACATTTCAATCACTCATGTGGCCATCACCAGGTAATAGATCCAGTTACCTGATGATAGCCACATTATTGGTCGAAAAGTCATGAGAAAATTAAATAAAAATAAATCCACTCAAAAGCTGTATCTTTGGACTTTTATTCAGATATAAAGTTGCTTTGTGGTAGAAGTTATAAAATTGTGGAGTGATTTGTCTGATGTGGTGTATAAGTCATTTCTTATTATATATAATAGTGTGAAAAGTAGCAATTTGCCACTTTAGTGTGCAATGAACATTGTAGAACAATCCACATCAAGGCATCTCATTTTAATGAATATATTTAAAAATAACTTCTGTTGTGATTTATGTTTTGAATTTTGTCACATTTTGAAGTATACTAATTTTCTGATTTTGGTGCATGCTATATTTTACTAAATTATTCAATTTTAAGGAAATGATGATGTAGAAGAAAAGGCAGTTGTGCCATTTAAGAAATTACATTATGAGTAATAGTAATAATAGTCATACACAAATCTGCCAAACTTAATTTATATAGTCTAGAATAGAAACATTTATAGAATTGAAATACTGTTTGTATATTTTTAAGTTTGTAATGACAAGGTTTGCTAGTAATTTGCAACTGCATGCACTTAAGTGAATTCTTTATAAATGTTTACATTCTTCTAGTATTTAATGGTTTCATAAATGTACATTACTAAACTCTGGATAATAAGATATTCACATTTGAAACATGGTTCTGAACTTTGTTTAATGTAATAATCAAATGCAGCTTGTCCTTCCACGTAAGTTTGTCACATTTAATCTTTACAGATGTTACACAAGTTACTATCTCACCAATTGGACCAGATGAACTGCCACCACCATACACTCCTTCTCCTCATGGTGGTGTGCCTATGGTAACATGCCGTGTCTGCAAGTCCATGATTGACATAACTGGAAAAAAAGAACAACATGTAGTCAAATGTAACAACTGCAATGAGGCTACTGTAAGTACATGTTAAATAGTTAAAGAATAATTTCAAAAAGTTTACTTCACATTAACCTTTTCTAAAATTGCTTGTACTCACCAGGGTAGACCAAAATATAATGTATTTTACTATAATTTTTACTTTTCACATTTCTTTTAGTTAAATCTTTTCTTTGACTGATGACACATTTAGGAATTTACATCTTCTACTAAAAATTCCCATTGAAATCAGGCCACATTATTGTCCATACATGTATGTGTATATTACAGGCTGCTAATAACTTATGTTGAAATGCTAAATATATTCACATTTAAAGAATCAAAAGCAATGATAATGGTTAACAATGAAGAAAAATAGTAGAGTATTTAAAATCTAGATTTTTTTTATATTTTTCACTTTCAAAGTACTATATGTATGTTTTTTTTTATTTCTTTTCCTTTATCTGCTTATTATATTTGCATTCAGTTAGTTCCATTTAGTTTTATAAGAAATGTTTTTGGTTTAAGTTCATAGTTCCTTATAGCCATGATGTGAAAACATTTTTAACTGCTAAGCTTTTTGCTTGATTTTAATTTCATTTTCCATACATATAAATACTTATTTCTTATTTTTAAGAGCTATATTCAGTTTTAAAATTAAGGCCTTCTGTAGCAATTATAACTATCAAAATTATTTTCTCTAAAAACCAGAAATAAACTTAAAATTGTATACATTTTATTTAACCAAAGAAAATTTTTAGATATGACTAATTTTTCTTGGCTAATACACAACTTTACCAAAGTAGATTGTGTTTATTTGAGTGTGTACATTATGTTGAGGAGCTCATTTTTCCTGTCAAAGAACAGTTATTTTTATATCTTTTATAGTTTCAAGAAATGTTCAGAGCTGACTGGTTAATAAAAGGATATTTTATAAATGTATATAAACTGATTTCTTGAATACTACTTTTTTTAATTGACTGCTCTTACCTTGACTTTTATTGTCAGTAATGTTTTTTTGCTGTTACTTAATGATTCCTTAGAATTGTCATCTTGGAATCTAAAACCTTGGATTTATTTTTGTTTTACCGTTAAATTAAGAATGACCAAACTTAAATGTACATATAATTTTTTCAAATACTTACTTTTTGTTTATTTTGTATTACACTGTATAGATTATCATTGATGGACAAACTCAGTTAATTGCTTGATAAAACAAAAGCTTAATATTTAACAGTATGAACATAGAATTTTGTCGTGATCAGACTAATCTTTACACTGTATTTCAGCCAATTAAGAATGCTCCACCAGGAAAGAAGTATGTGCGTTGTCCCTGCAACTGTTTATTGATATGTAAAGCTACTTCCCAGAGAATTGCATGCCCTCGACCTAATTGGTAAGTGCAGTATATTAAAGAAGATATTTTATTAGGAAACAGTCGTACGTTAAAATTATTGAAACATGATTGTCATGTTAAAACTAGTATAGTTATTCTAAATGAAATACATATATATATAGATAGACAGATAGATAATAATAATAATAATATATAATTAAATAATTGGTTAGGATGCTACAACATCAAAGCTAAGGCACTGATTTAAAGTAATTCTATTTCTTGTTTTTATTTTTGACATTTCTTCATTTTAAATGAAACCATAAGTTCTATTCTTGTTTTATTGCATTTTTAAGAGGTATGAGTTACTTTATTCTTTTGAATGAAAATATTTTCTCAAATGGTTTGTTAAGAATATACAATTCACCTGAAGAAGAAATTGTTGAATTTTATTTAGTTAAAATCTTAGCATGTATTTTTTCATAAAATACAGTATGCATGAATTAGATGCTTTATATGGGTTCAAGACCCATGATAGGCACAGTGTAGCCCACTGTCAAACTTTGCTCGTAAACATAAAAAAAATGTATTTTATTTGAAATAGAAAGTCTTGATAAGTAAAATTTACAGGTAATGGTTCATGATCGTGCAAGTTCAAAAGCAATTAATACCATAAAACTGGGATGTGCTGATATATAAGTGGTCAGTTACTCACAAGTTAGTTGCCAGTAATAAATTGATTAACCACTATTAACCAATTTTTTTGTATTTCTTACTATTACCTGTGCCTTTATCAACAGTCTTGACAACATATTTACGTTTGATTCCATAAACTTCAAATAGCCCTAAGTCTAACAGATTGGTGATTGGGCAGAAAATATATGTATAATAATCATGAAAGAAAAGCAGTTTTAATGTTTCTCTACATTATCATAGAATAAGCTTTATTGATTGGGATTGGAAATAATGCCTTCATGTAACATGTTTTGACTTCTTTTTAAGAATGATTTAAGATGAAAACAGTCAAGTAATTAAATGTTAAACACAAGTAGTTGCTTTTGGAGAATGTTAGAAATATTCCTTGTTGTCTGTGGGGGGAATAACATGTGAAAAATAACCAGAAACTAAGAAAATATAAAAAAATATTTTGATCTCTTAACTCTCTTTCACATTTCAGCCATAGCAAGGTTCCTACATTTGTTTTTCTTCTAATTAGTTAACTTAAGTTGATTGGTTTTATGGTCAATAAACCAATTATTGATCATTAAATCAGTTAGTCAGCACATCCATACATGAAACATAATGGATGCTAGTGATGGCAATCATTCAGCTTTTTTTTTTTTTTTTTTCAATCTCAACCAGTTCAACTCTATCAGCACGGGTTCGGTCCCTGGGAGCAACCTTGTAACCATTTATGATTGTTATAGTTTTCATGCTATAACTTTTAAATTAGTAAGCATATGTTAACGAAATTTGGCAGATTATCAGTAAACATTACAATGCTTTCATACACAAAATATCAATTTCTTTTATTAAGTCTTAAGGTTTGTAAAGCAATGTTTTTCTCATGCCTTTTTTCTTTTCGTGTTGCCTATCTATCATGCAAAGTAATTTTCATTTTAAAATTAAAAATACCGTTATTACATCAGAAAATTTTCAAATTTCATATGCGAAATCTTTATAATGTCAAGATAGTTTCTTAAGAAAAAGAACTTTTACATTTTATCTGTTATTTTCACTAACGAACCTCTGTACGGGTTCGTTAGATTTAACTGATCTTGTAACCACCATAAATAACTAGAAAATAAATATAAATTATGCCTCTTTCATTCTAGAATGACAACAGATTATAACACAAAAACATAAATATTTAGACTAAATAGCTTAAATCTCATAACATTATACATTTATATATATTTATTATTTTTATTACATTCAGCCGTGCCTGGCTAACAATACAGAAGTTACAATGACACGGCACACTTGCTCTCATGTTACCATATCCCATAATATAAAACTGGCTATATTTTAGAAGACTAGTATTTTGTAAAATACAGTCACATTTCCATTATTATATATTACATATATACATAGATTATTACTATTTAGAAATAAGTTCTTAAACTTATGTTTCTTAAAATACACCAGTAAATAAAGAAGTAAAGCAAATAATCATCTCTTCTAGTTATGATCTTTGTACTCAGTTGTTGCTTGACGTAAGTTTCTAAGCCTTTTAAAATTTTGGATGTGGAGGATATGAAACAAAATAATTTTTTTAAAGTTTTATATATACAGTTGAATAATCAAAAAATCATAAACTACTATATTGATACCACAGAATTCCACTATAATTTATCAAGCTTAGTAACTAAGCAGACTAAAGACACAACCTACCTCCTTGAAATCTTGGTTCAAAAGAATGAGATGGCATCCTAACACATGAAAATGGCTAAGAAAGCCATTAGGGGGACATTATGAGCTTTTGATTGTTTATTCACGTCATATATTGATGTAAGTGTATGTAAGGGACCATTTCCAAAAATGGAGAGAGGTGAGTGGGGCCATTGTGTTTGATTAAATACATGAGTGATATATCAGCAAATAGAAAAGATATGAGGTTCTTATTTTATATTCTAGCTTGCCAGTATTGGTAATTTCAGTTCCTAATTTGTACGAAACTATAAACTTAGTATTTTGATATGACAAACATCTAATTTGAACCAGTGCTGCATTCAACATACCATACGACACACAAAAATTTATGTATAATATTAAAATTTGAATTATAATCTACAGTTTGATACCAAACTTATTGACATAAATTCATGAAATAGTAGTTCAATAAAATTTGGAATGCGAGTCAACAAACGCAATGACATGGCCTTTCACCTGTGACCCATCTGGAGAGGATTAACATATTAAATGCTATTTGATGTTTAATTATGAGTTTACCTAATGAGCTAAAATTTAAGGAAAGTTAGTGGCTGAAGTGCTAAAGCATTCTCTTTGAATGATTAATGCACATTTTTCTCTTGTTTTATCAGTAAAAGGATTATCAATTTGGCCCAGAGCCCGATTACCCCACCACCATCACATGTTCCTGGAATGTGTCGAATATCATGTGGACATTGTCAGAGGATCTTTTTGGTAGTATATTTGATAACATTATGGTTTAAGTAATCACTGTATCAGATACTTAATATTCTACAAATTGAAATTCATAGTTTATTTTTATTGTTTTGTATCAATGATAACTTCTTAATTATTGCAGTCTAAAACACTAATAGTGTTCTAGAGAGATTATTTTTTGATAATACCAAATAGCATCAACAGTTCAAATGGGTAATGCATGTTGCTAGAATTGAGTTTCTTTGAAAATATCTATGTATACTTAAACACCCATTTTTCATGTAAAAAGTAAAAACCTCTTTATTTTGTCTAAAAGTCTCAGTATTTCATGCAATTTCTAAACTTTACACATTTTCTTAGTTTTTGGTTTTCAAAAGAAGTTTACAAATAACTTATTAATAGATTAACTATAATCATGCATAAACAGTATAGTTGCATGTCTACACTTTTTTTTTAATTTGTGCAAATTATAGAAGACTGAAAAATCCAAAGTTTATCAAAACATGTTATGACACTAACTACAAGCTCAGTGATAAGTCTAAGGGCTTATAAAGCTAGAAATTGGATTTTTGATACGTGTGGTTGACAGGGCACAGATAGCCCATGGTATAACTTTGTGCTAAACAACAAAAACTAAGCAACACAACAATGAAAAACTGCATATAAATGTATTAAAAAATCAAAACAAATAAAAATAGACTACATGTTTCATTTGAGATATTTGTTAACCATAACATGTGGTGGATTTATGTTTGTTATTACTTTTATTAAACTTTTGCACTTTTTTAAATGTTGCATTGCTTATATTTAATAACTTTGTACATGAAGTCAGTAGAATTGTAAGAATGTTATAACAATGAAATAGAGTTGAGTGATTAGAGGTATTCAATCTATTGGCTAATCAATTATTGATGGACCCAGTAATCAATTGTACATATTTCCCCATCCAAGCAAAGATTTGAAAAGTTATGAACTGTCTTCATACCTTTTTCCACAAATGCATTGTTCTAACATGGTATTCATCTTCAGTTATTTTGTTCTTTTTTTAATTATTTTCAAATTACTCTTGATTTCATATCATAGACCTTTTATGAATGTCACCATTTGTGTGTTTTGGAAAAAAAAAAAGTTTTTTTCTTTTGTGTGTGTGTAGTATTTATTTTCACTGATAAAGATAATAATGCTGTTATTTAAAATGTATTACAATTGCAATTAGAAATAATTAAGTAGCCAGTTAGCTAGTTTATTTATACATGTTATTTGAGTACTATAAACATAAAAATAATATTCAATAAACATACAAGTAATCAGAATATTAAACAGTAAACTTAACTAATTTGATAATGATTTTATTTTGTTTTATGAACATAATAAAATTAACCTTGTGTTAGCAAGCATTGCAACTCAATAAAACCAATAAAAAGGGAAATAAATAATCATAACTTATTTTATTATTAGGTAAATAAGTAGTTAGCCAGAGTAAAAACCTTGTATTTTTTGTTACTCTTCAAATAGCCTAAATTTAAAATCAAACAAAATGAAAAATTTTAATAAACATCAATATGTCTTGTAAAATAAAACTTTTGATAGTTACAACATTATCTTGCATAGTTTGAAAACCATTAGGAAATTAAATATAAAACTAGAAAGTCTGTTCAGATATTATTGTGTTAACAACAATGATTAATTTCTCTACTCTAGTTACTGTAATGTTTTATTTTTACAATGATGGTATGATTTTAAAAGTTAGCTGTGTAACACTAATCATATTTTCAATGTTTTTTTACATGAAAGAAGAGACTTTCACTGTAATATTATAGTATTTTTAATTGATCATTGCTGACTATGTAGTCCTGAAGTAACCTAATTAAGTGAAGCAAAGTTAAAATAATATTAATATATTCTGTAAATTATTAGCTCAATTTTTTCTTTATTTTTAGTAATACAATTGGTACGAAAATAGAAATAGAAACAATTCCTTACTTTTTAGTTAAAATTAAGTAGTTAATATTATTTTACGGTGATATCTAGAAACCAAATTATATTATTACTAAGTAGGATTCCTGTTTTCAAACTTTTTTAAGAAGTTATTACTTATACAGTCATACCACAGACACCAAGAATATGTAAAATATCATTCTCACAAAAATTCTAACTTCTAAACAGTGAAAAAATTAATTCTGTAACAAGTCTAGCATAAACCACCATGGGGATCGCAAGGAATTTCACAAAACCATAATAGAATGTTTGGGCAAGAAGCACCTTAAACAGTAAAGATTCAGTTAAAAGACACTTTAAAACCTTTACTATTGATTGCTAAAGCTGCATGTGTATAAAAATGTACAAAAAAGCATGCATGTTAAACTTCCAAGGAAAGTAAAATTGCTCAAAATGGCTCATTTGTAATTCTTATTATTATTCTCTTGCCAGCCTACAACAAAAATGGCTTGGTATATTGCACCCATACCTTTTGTATAATACTAAATAAGGTACTGCGAAGGTTGAACAGGTTTTGAAAAGTTGATTTGTTTCCTATGTATTTCACATAAACTAGAAAAACATCATAATTCTGGTATAAATGTTAAACTTAAAGTTAACTTTCTTACAAATATCTGGTGTTCCTTTAAAAAGCTTAAATACAGGGTGAAACAGGAATTACCGGCCAATAATAGATGAACATTAGATGACTGTAATATGTAGATACCCAATGCTTTGTACACTATACAATCAGTGTCTTTAGGGAGACAATCTCTGTATTATGTATGAAGTGAAGGGGTATAAAAAATCAATACACATAATATTTAATTTTATGATACACATTTGTAGAATAATTGCTTTAAAAGACACAAAGGTTTATTTGAAAAGGCTGTTTTTCTACTGGTAAAATTTTTTTCTTGCTTAATGGGGTTGTGTCTTAGTCTAGGCATATATTTGCCCATTGCTATGCATTATATATAGAGAATTTAGTTACACAGAAACTGTAAATATATATTATCAAACAAATTTCCATGACAGTCTCCAGCTGCAGCTTAACATTTTACATCTGCAGTAGCTACAGTAAGTTAAACATAAAAAAACAGCAAACAAAATAAATAAATTAGGAATTTAAAAACCTGCAAATAGGGATAATAAAAAGTAAGGAAACAAGGCTGAAAATAATGTCTGCAGTATCTCCAACCTTGCTTCCTTACTTTTTTTATTATCCCTATTTGTAGGTTTTTAAATTCCAAAATTTTTTATTTATCTTGTGTTATAAGAACTGCAGGTGTCCTAAATAATACTAACTTTAATCTTTAAAGTCTAGACACACTTGTTAGAGTTTTTGTAAAAAGCCAATGCATGGGAATGTACATTGACATTCATACTGTTATTGACTGAGGCCTTAACCATATTGCAATGATGCCATTTTTAAACCCCTTCTATGCATGTTACCGACTTACATTCAAAATTACTATTATCAAGTACATTGTAACTTAAAGTTTTATATTCTCTAAGTTTATTCCTTCATTTTAAAAAGAAAAATCTAAAATAGCAATTAAAACTGCAATTTTTGCTGTCACATGATTCTCTCACAGTTACAAGTTATTTCACAAGATACTGTAAGAAAATAATAAATATATACTGTCGGCATAGAAGATCAAATTAAAGTTCCACCTGTCTTTCATTAGCGTCTTGAAAACTTCCAAGAATTTCTCGATGGGGGTTTGACATTCTAAAATTTCTAAGCTTAAGGTTAGCCATGCCCACTTGGAAAGTCAAAGCTGTGTTGCCAAGTGACAGTTTGAAGTTGATTGGCATGCTTATAACCAACAAAAAGATCAGATTTCCCACTATTTGGTTATAGCCTGAAGAAACCTCTACCAGTGTACGGATCTATGGTATGAGAGAGAAAAGAAACTTAGTCCATTGTTCTCTTGAGGGGTATGTAGTGCTTGGCAAGTGTTTCTTGCATTATATATTATGTGTATTTTAAAAGGCATATTTGAAAGGTTTATGATTTGTATACATTTAACTTTATGTATTTTTACTTGTGGATATGTCTAAGCAAGATGGCATCATCGCATGTGCAAGCTTTAGTGAAAGAATTTGGGCACGACCTTTGCCCTATAATAACAATAAAACAGTACAGGGACAGATTGGCAGGAATAGGTTGGCATACCTGCATCAAGAATAAAAGACAAAGAATTGGAAAGAAAAATTAAAAATAAACTATAAGTGAAAAGATAGACATGAAATTAAGCATATGACAAAAAAAATTCCAGGAAGTATTCAACAAAAATTTAAAAGGTATGTACATATTACCATTTCTTAATTTTAAACATTTCATTGCACTCTATGTTGATGGTAATAGCAAGAGTTGGTGATGTAGTAGAGAAAAAAAAATATAAACAATTACCTTAAAAAACTTTTGATATTCATTTAGGAAGTTCTAGATATTATGTAAATGAAATATAAAAACTATAGGATAAGAAGTAGTATTTTTATGCTCAAAATGAAAATCACATTGCATGTGAACTATTCAGAGTCTGAGTGCAAATAACTACATTGAATAATAAATCTTTTATTATAAATAGTAGAAAAATACAAAATTTAAATATCTTATTTTCCAAACTACATACTTATTGGACCTTTCATCTCAAATTTAAAAGAATCTCATCCACTAGTTTCATTTTTGTAAAGAACTTTCATGAGAGTTATATACCTACTTACAATGCAAGTAGTTTGTAGTCAAGGGGTTATTAATTGGATTGTCGTAGACTCCAGCTGTGTTGATTTAGGAAAAGTTCAAAAACCTTTTATGGTAGATAATAGCCTAGTCGAATAACAACTCTGACATCTAATGTGTCTCTGGTAGTTTAAGGATGTTTGGCTGTTGTTTTTTTTTATTAGTCTCTGAAAAAAAGGGAGAGGGATTTACCTCCCCCCCCCTCCCCCAAGATTTGCACCTTCATATACAATCTTGAACAATGAAGTTATTAATTCTTAAAAAAAATGGAGATGATCTGGAAACATACTTG